TTGTGGTTTATTTTGATTGTCTTGCTGTTTCTTTCTGCATTCAGCAATACTGTGTCCGTATCTTCGGCAATAGTTACACCATTTCTTAAGGGATGGTTTACTTTTAAAATTTGGGTTTTTGTCATATATATACAAAATTTAGTGAATTTTTCGGATAAATCTGTGTCTGAATTATTTATGTTATTTATTTGTGTTGTTTGATTATTATTATTGTACAGTAATTTTAGATTTTCTGTTTCTTCTAGTTTCATAGTGATTTCTGCTGGTTCTAGTTTATCTACTAGTTTTCTGAAATCTAGATCTGGTTCTCGAATTGAGGAAGGGTGTGATGCTCTCTTTTTAATTGCTATTTTTCGTAATTGAGGTGTTAGAGTCATCTTTAAATTTTCTGTCATTTTTGTGTTTTTATAACCATGAGTATTTAGTGAGTATGCTTTTCGGACTAGTACTTCGATCCTTACTGCTAATTGTTTGATTGTTTCGTTTGGTAGTCTACGATTTTCGTTGCATAAAACTCTTTGATGTTGTTTGTTTCCTTCTGAATCAAACATTTTTGAAAATTCTTGTGTAAGTTTTTTCCAATCTGATTTTTTTTTCTATAGGTAGGACTGAAAACCATTTGTGAGCTGCACCATCATGTGTGGTTTGTACTAACGCTGTGCGGCTATGTATCCAATTTTGGTGAAGTGGCGTATATTTAAAATTAAATTTGCTGTGACTGCATTTAAATAATCTTCTACAGAGTATTCAGGATCTGTGCCAGTGAATACCATCAATGACTTGTTTGATTGTATTGATGATCCACCCATAAGGTATAGATTCATAGTCATCTGTAGTGATTCTGCGGCGTTTGGCATTTGTGAAAAATTTGTGAGTTGAGTTTTTTTGTGATTTCGTGTTGTTGTAAATAATAGGGTAGTGGGATTTCATTTTAAATTTGTGTTGGTTGATAGTAATCAGTGTGAACTAGGTTTTGCCTTTGTATTGGTTGATACGATGGTGTATAGGTTGGGTTTTGCGTTTGCAACGGTTGGTGAACTTGTGTATTAACTAAGTTTTGTGGATAAAAATTTGTATTTTGGGATGCTTAATTTTGTCGAGGTGGTTTTGAACGGTATTCTTGTGAATATGGTGCAAAAATATCTGGTTGATAATAGTCATCATCATCTGATGATTGATAATTAGGTGTATAGTAAGGTTTGTTGTGTTTAACTTGGTTTTGTTCCACATTTCTAATTTGTTGGAAAAATGGATGATTTTCACTTTGGTCTTGTGAGATACGTGGGTAATCATGAGAATTTACTGTAGTTGTTGTTGGTTGTCGAAAATTTTGTTTTTGTGAGAATAAAGGATTTTGATTATTTGGGTGAAATGATTCAGACGTTTGTGGTACATTTACCTAGTTATAATTGTGCTCTGCAAAGTTATTTCTAGTAAATGTTCTTTGTTTTTGCGTTGGTTCCGTCATTGATCTAAGCGTTTGATAATCCATGTGTGCATACTTTGGGGCAACGGTGGGTTTAACTGTTGATTGTAATGTTACCTGTGGTAAGTTGGATTTTTAGATCTTGGAGTTGTAAGATTTAGATGTATTGGTGAGATACTTTGTCGTGTTGTTGTTATTACTGTTGTAACTACTTCTTCATTTGCAAAATGTGATGGTGTTGGAATATCTTGTTGTCTGAGATTCCTAGTTCCATTTAGATTTTTTTGTTGTGTGTTAGTTGAATTTAGGGTACTATTTTGTGTCCTATCGGGTAGGAATAAATATAATTTAAAGGTGTCGCATCAGTTGTGAGAGGGTATATCTTAATATAATCTTTGTGTATAGTTTTTGTGCTAATAGCTTGACTTAAAATGTCTGTTGGTATGTTGATAAATAATGGATGAGACTATTCAGAGTCCCAAACATAATCTGATTGTTCTGCTATTACTGTATCATCTGTTAACTTTTGGGGTCTGAACTTTTTTATTGCTTGTGAGATTAAATCAAGATTATGTGTGAAATAATCTATGATAAATCAAGTTTGTAAGATTTTTTGTAAATTGTGTTTATCGTTTTGTGAAACGTCCTTGCTGGTTTAATTTTCACGGATTGCGTTTATATAGTCAGAAAATTTTGTGATTTCATGTCTTACAGTTGTATGTTTTGATGTCTGAATTGGTGAAGTTCCTTGAGATTCTGGTTTTTCTCATATAGATAAACAGCTATAAACTATTCGAAATACTTCGTTAGTAAATATTGAATTTGCTCTTTGTGAATTTTGGTGTTGTATATTTTTTATATATATTCTGTGAAAACTTTTGAAAATATTATATCTATGTCATCTGTTTGAGGTTGATACTTACCATGAAATGTACTTGGGCTCTGTAACTCTACTGTTTAGATTCCGTACTGTTGTGATGGTGTACATATTCCTTTGAGGTAGTGGTCGACAAGTTGTCTTTTTATTTTCACTTCTGGAAGTTCTGCTCTGCATGGGCTAATTCCTTTTTCAAATACATTTGCTATTAATTTTTGACAGTGAGGGAAATGATGATAAATGGAAGGATGGAGTTTGAGTTTTCATCTTCACTTTTTTCATTTGTACTCAGTTTTGTGCTTTATGACCGTTAATTTGTAATTTTCTATGTGTTTTTTTTGGTTGATTCCAATTGTATAGTCGCACTGGTTTGTTTTTATTTGAGTTTTTTATTCTTCTTTTTCGTTGTATTGATGAATGTGATGTAGTTTCAGAGTCAAAAAAATATAATGTATCTTTAACTGGGTAGTTTATATTTTTTGAGTTTTTTAATCTATAAAGTTCTTGTAGATGACTTGTTTCTGATTCGGAAAATCCGTTTCTCTGTTTTGAAAATCTTTTTCGTGTAATTTGTCTTTGTTTGCTTAAAATTTTTTGTTTGATTGTTTGTCGTTTGGTTCTAATATATTCTGTTGATTGTCTGTGTGGAGTGATTACGAGGTCATAATTTTCGTTGTTTATGTCACAGTTGTGTAATATGATTGTTTGTTTATTTCCTAAATTGTCTAGTGGCATAAGTTTTTAGGATGATGGATGCAATAGTTTGATTAGTGATTTTTGAAGTGCTTGAACTATTAGTCCTTACGTTTTTTTCGGGCTAGCTTAGCTTTGGGTCTTGTTTTTCGGGGTTGGAGAGAAAAGCATATATCGATTCCAAAGAATGATTGTTACTTTCTCGTGGCTAGTCTAAGTTAAGGTGTTAACTTACTTAATCTTACTTAGGGGTAATGATTTGTGATCAAGGGTTGGAGAATGGTAAATCGATCCACAAGGTTCAAGTATAACTAGAACAAAAGTAGTTCGTTAGATACTATTTTAAACTTACTAAGTTTAAGTAATATCCTGGGTGAGGTAAGAGGGGGGATCAAGTGAAGGATGAATAACCGAAGTTCTTCACTGTTTATCCTAATTAGAATGGTTAATGATATTGAAAAATTTCTGTTAATCCTAAGTCGTAGAAAGGGTTGGATAGTGAAACGACGTTGTAGGTCGTTAGAGACTAGTCTAATGTGTGGGGGAGAACAAAACTGTTCTATTTGATCCAAGGATAAGCCTTGATGATCAAGATAAAAATTAATGATATAAAAGTTAAAAGGGTATAAAAATGAAATGGAGATCCAAGGGAAGCCTTGATGATCTATTTAGTTTAACAGGTTTAATTTAAGTAAAAATAAAAATTTCTTTTTAAGGTAATTTAAAGTTTTAATTAATAGATAAATTTTAGTTTTTGATGTTGTTAGTGTTTTATGATTTGCTTGTTATGTTTAGATGATGAAGCTGAGATGGAGAAAAGGGCTATATATTACTAACAATTTGTGTGTTTACTAACTAATTTTCTTTTTTTGTTTCCAATAAACGTTCTTTTCAGATATCTTTTCAATTTACTTACTACAGTTTTAAGGAAACGATTAGAGATCTTTTTATCAATCGTTATTGTACAATAATAGGTTTAGCGACTGTAATTATTGGTGAAGAACTTTCTTCGATTAGATTATGTCTGCAAATGAAAATCTAAATTCATTGCTAATAAAATTCTAAACATAAAGGTTTGTGTTGGCTTTTGCCGTACAATCATGAAACTTATGGGTAAGTTCCGTTGTAGTCGTATATCGTCTCTTGTCCGAGGTCTTCTTCCAATACCAGGAAGTTTTAGTGTTGTTCGGAATGACGGCTCTGATCTATTGAGTCGTAGAGACATTTCGATTAAATTATTTTCGTATAGCATTTTTGTGAATGTTTTTGTCGAAGTCTAATCTATTTTTGGTTAGTTCTAAGTCTTTTATTGCTTAAGGTCTTATTCGAGACTTATGGTCGCACCAGATGAGTTGGGTCTGATAGTCTATCTCATAGAGTAATTTCAGATAAGGTACACCGTCTGCTCGTCACGCTATCTTATTTCGGCCGGATAGATTCGTGCAACTTCTTAGTCTAATACCGATCTTAATCTTACTCTTATATCTCTTAGTCTCAATAGATCTAGAGTATACTGGTTTGTTACGAGTTGGTCTCTTGGAAAAGGCAACAAAGCTGTAAGTTAAATTCAGAATGCTCTGCTGCTGAAACTACAAGTAATTGCAACTCTTTACAAATAAGTGGGTAGTTAGTTAGATGGAGTATGATTGGTTAGCATTCAATATTTTATAGGGATAAAATATTTAATTTATAACCAATAATAATATACAATTTGGATCAGGTTCCAATAAGAAGCAATAAATAAATACATGGATTTAGAGGGCAACCGAACATTGAGAGATTGCGCTAATACGAAAATACCAGTATTTCACAAGGTCAAGAAAATGGAGACAATTCTCAAGATAGTCCACATGACAGAAAACTTTCAACAAATTTACAACGTCCATTTCTGATTGATTTTTCAGTTGATTTGTTCCAATTGTTTAGTTACTGAAATCTGGTTCGCCAACAAAGTTTCTGACATTCATTTTTTCCGCCTAGGTGGAAGTACCCAAAAAAACGTACTGTTTGGATTTGCAGTCTTCAAGTCCTCGCAGTTGACAAGGTTGAGTTGACAAGGTTG